ACTAATTATAACGTTTTTATTCTGTTCTATAATAACAATTAAAGTTGTGGTTCTATTCAAAAAAAGGTAGTTATCAATATACACAAATGTATCAGTTTATTTGAGAATCCTTATAAAACTGAAAGATATAAATGTAATGTTTATTTAATCAACTGCTTATGTTGTTAATCGCTAATTCGTGAATAGTCCGCTGAACTTTTGGCTATTATTTTTTTAAGTTGAAATTATTGGCTATTATTTTATTTGAGCCAGTGTGAGCCCTGCACGTAGGTGCTCGAATTTGTCAAGCGTTTTAGGTCAATGGCCACCATATTTTGGTTATTTTACATGCATACAGTATAGGTTGCTGGCCACCATTTTTTTGCCGATTTTATTTCTTTCCCATCGGCAATAAGTGTGAGTTTTTGGATGCACTGACCTTGAAAAATTTGCATACTCTTTGTATTTTCTGCGTTAAAAATGAACGTTTGTGCGTTACTGGGCATGCTGATTGGTTTATAGAATTGTCAATTCACCAATTACGTGAATGGATATGAAAATGCTATTTTTAGCGATGTCAATTACCGAATACCTCAGAGCGTATTACACAGTTGTCTAGTAGTGGATTTATCATTATATACATGTCGGACTGTTTTGGCGAGAAGATTTTCGCTAAATTATTTACATCAATGTTAAACAACAGGTATATCGTAAACAAAATACCTAGAAATTAATAAGGATTACCATGGAGCTAAATATAAGATTTATATATCTGTAGAATTATTTGATTTTATTCAGGCTGTTTTCGGTTAACATCTCCGCGGTACAGGGGTAACGCGCTTGTTTAGGGTGTGAGAGGTCTGAGGTTCAAATCCCAGTCGAGGCAACTTTTTTTTTATGAAGGAAGTAGCCACGATATGCAAGGATAAAGGATAAAGTGTGGCTGTCAAAAACAATGAACATAAATGAATTTTGATGCAACTTTAGTCATGCAAAATTCTGTATGTATCAAACTCAATCTGTTATACATGTAGTAAAAAATCCAAACACAGGCGCTGTCTCGGTGCCCTGCAAGGTGAATTATAGTATATAAAGACTTATACAGGAAAATACATATAGATATATATACAGTACAATTTAGATTGCAAAGATCAGAAAATACCACAGAGCTTGCAGGTAATACGATTTTGTATGTGAGAACTCTATTAACTAATTAAGCTATTACAAAGTTACATGTTAAATTTTTTTTTCCAGCTTCTACACATGAACTCCTATTTATAACCATATCAATAAATTTAGTGTTGCCCTAGAATCAATTTTGGTACGCTAATTGATACAAATAGGATTTTTTTAAACATTGAATAAACGTGTATCTTGCATGATTTGATTTTCAGAGAAGAGCAAATTTTGACGTGCGTTTACCTACACTCGTAATAGAACAATAGTTTAATAAAATGATAACCTACAACGTCCTCTAATGACACTGTTTGTGACAGTCAAAAAATGCGGATATTATTGATAAAAACACGGCAAACTTCACATAAAATTCCCTTTCAAATGTGCCACTATTTTCAGCCAATCATATTCCGGAAAAGTCTTTGCTTGATTTATATGCTAAAATTATCTCAATTACACGGATAATTTTGGCTAAACGAATTGGGGACACAACAAATTAAATCAAAATTTATTTATTGTCGGTACATATGTATATACATATAACATTTCACAAAACATAAGCAATGTATAGCTTTTGAGCGACAATAGATTAATAAAATGACACAACAAATTGTGAGATTGTTTATTTTTTTGTTTTTACTTTTTCAATAAACTTGCATCTAAATTTGAAATTTGTTTTTGTTGTTCGATCAGTGCAGACTGAGAAAAATTTAGATGGTTGGGTTGTAAAATGTTACTGGCAATTGAAATTGATAATCTTGCTGTACCCAAGATCTTCTTGTAAATATTCCTTTCATCATTTCGATATAGCAGAGACTTTATTACAGAGTCAATGACTGAAGGGTATGGCCACGCACTGGTTATTATTTATTTATTCTTCCAAGGTGAGCCAAACATCCCAGCCAATAAGTGTTATCAAAGAGCTATTATTAAAGTTACTGAGGTAACTTATGTTAGAAAATAAACTTGTATTATACATTTTGATTTTGATAATCTTTTTTACACTTTAATTCCTCTTTTATAAAATTTGTTTGTTTTTTATTGTGGGGATCCAGTACTGTTCGGGCATTCTTATTGCTTTGTATGCACGGTCTTTCAATTAAATTGGTGATTTTGTTTGTTTGTTTGTTTCATTAAATACGCCTTTTCCCAGCAATATTTCAGTCATATAGGCGGGTAGTTTCCTATCTATCGTTCCTGGAGAGTTACACCAGTACTAGACTACCTTCCTCGATCCGCGCTAAACTACCAAAGCATCTCCCGGGGATCGAACCCACGCCAGAGAGGTAACTGGATTAGAAGTAATCGACTCTAACCCCTCGACCACGGAGGCGGTCTACACTTTACAAGGTGGTGTCCATTTAAACATGATAGTACGACTACGAGCTGGATGGAAGATTTAAACGCCTCCAGGCTCTCTAGTTTAGCGCGGAGGAAGTTGTTACTCTCTAGGAACGGTGGTTAGGAAACTACCCGCCTATATGACTGAAATACTGTTGGGGAAAAGGCGTAAAATGAAACAAACAAACAAACAAATTGTAAAGTGTAAATACATGTTGGTCACCAGACCTTTTAGGGTGAAGTGTGGAACATCAGATTGTCATGAGACAGTTGTGATACAATTGTGTAATAAAGTTTTAAAAATTCATGTCGGAACACGCCACTCTACACCGATGTACAGTCTTCACCTCCTCGACGTCGATGTCTACCTGGTGGATATTGTCGAGTAACCCCGTTGAAGTTGAATTAATAAACTACCATAAACAACATTAAAAAGTCAGAGTAATAATTAACACCATTTTCAAATTCAGATTTCAAATTTTACCACAGTTTATATGAGTTAACATGTAATATATATGCGGGCCCAATTTTAAAACGTACACTACCCGCTTTTTAAGTTATTCTTTGTTGTTTTGTCAAAATAACTCCAGTTATAATGGCACAGGAAGCATATCAAAATATGCTAGAAGTAGAACCGTTTGATTGACAAATACTCAAAAATTTAGCTCCCATCACATGTCAACCACTTCTCCCGTCCACCAAACCTATTCTGTACCAGCCAATGAGGCTTAATTTAGTATACCATAAAGAGTGGAATCTATATCAGCAAGAACATTGTGACGTGTTGCAAAATAATCGGCGCAATATTAATCTGATTTAATTAAATATTATGAACAATGTACTATTGAACTATTGAAGTCGGGTTAATTCGAGGAAACTTGAAGATTAGATGGACAGGGGATTTAGTGGCGGATTCACGCCCGGGCTTCAGGGCTGCAGCCCCCAGCTCGGCCTAAAGATACGTTTTGTCAGTTTCAAACTTTATTGGCTGTATTGTACTCCCTTTTGCTGTCATCCAGTTGTTAATCTCCTGCCTTCTAGGCTTGGCAGAGATCTTTATCTATCACAAGCTTGAATGACTTCAATGTTTAAACTGAAAGACGGACAAAACCCCACACGTTAAAACCACACATCTCAAAATTTTATAGAGTGGACAAAAAAAACCCACACCTTAATTTTATAGAGTGGACAAAACCCCACACCTTCGATTTTACAGAGTGGACATAACCCCACACCTTTTATAATTATATGTATAGACCTGTGACTGACAATAAAATAAGTGAAATTGTTGATATTTGAATGATTAATGCTAATTAAGATTAATGAATATTTACCCTTTGATTTTTATATAACAATTTGTAATATTTGGATGCTTATCCTTTGATTTTTATTAAACAGTTTGTAATATTTGTATAGTCTATTATCATTTAATCATAATGTATTGTATATTGAAATAAGATATAACATACCATTAACTATCATGATCAAATTTAGGAACTATGTAAAATAATTAAAGTAGCTATAACAAATTTTCAGTAAATATTCTGTTTTATTTTTTTCTAACAAGATCAAAATAATATGAATTGTATGGTTTTATAACAAATTATTATAAGGTGTGGGGTAATGTCAACTCTACAAAATTGAAGGTGTGGGGTTTTGTCCACTCTATGAAATTTTGAGGTGTGGGGTTTTGACATGTGGGGTTTTGTCCTTCATTTAAACTGCATAATTGATTGGTTTATTACTTTCCAAAGGTCTAATGAAATTAATAGTCACAGATATTGGCAAATAGATGTGTTACTAAGCACACCAGATTTAACTATCTTTGTTTTTCCATTTTCTTTGCAAAAGCTCTAAAACAAAGAAATTGAAAATTATGATTTGTAAATTAAAAAGGTGGCGAGTTTTATAAAGACAATATTAAAGGAATCGCATTTTAATAACTAGTGTTTTAAAGATTTTTATTAAGATGAAATGATTGGTCATATTTTTATGACAGTTAAAATTTTAAATAAATTTAAATTGTACTGACCTCTTAAATATCTTAAATGGATTCATTCTTTGATGGAAAACATTTTTATTGAATATTAGTGTTTGAAATTATTTTTTGTACAATAGAAGGCAGCATTTTAATAACACTTTTCTTTGGAAAATCGCTATTATATATAAAATAAAAATTAAATAGACATGTATAAAAAAAAACTATTATTCAGACGAGTAAATTGATCGAGTGTTTGAAATTATTTTTATCAACGGTCATGCATACATTGGTAAGTGTGCTGTTATTTTGTAAATGCTTACTACTATATAACACCAGGGGAATTCTATTTGAAAGACGCTACAAACACTAACCTATACAAAATACAATGTGATGTTAAACCATCAAAAAGGTACCATAAAAAAGAAAATTAGAAGAAAAAAGATTATGCCGAATATTAAAGGCTGGTTTAGTGGTCATTTCTTGCACTGTAAATCTATGGGAAAATTAATACGATAGTCTGACCTTATGTCAATCAAACATGCCAACAAAAAATGGCGTCGTCCGATGAGGTGAAAATTATTTTCTGAATTTCCGATTTTGTTATTCCCTGAAATGATAAATATCACCAAGTTGGCCGTAATGGTATTGCTTGAATATGTTGGAATCCATGAAATTTCAACAAAGTGGTGTCATTGAATCCTAATACGTTAACAATTGGGTTTATTATTTTTGTCACTTATTTTCGCGACAGTTATAAACAAATATTTTGATAAGGTATTGACTTGGAACACTAATGAAGGCCAAGTATAACAAAGTGTCTGTAGATAATACGGGGAAGTCAAATACCGCGGGCCTGGGCTTTGGCTTTCCCGGCTATAGACTACACATGTAATATGAAATTAGGCAAAGCCTATGAACGGGGAAGTCGTTAAAAAATTAGTTTCATTCTTTCCGTTTTAAAGGTGTCATTCGGTATTTAATGCATCGCTTCCGTTTTCACTCAGAACACTCGACGATTATTAATATGAAATTAGGCAAATCCTATGAACGGGGAAGTTGTTAAAAATTCCTTTCATTCTCCGTTTTAAAGGTGTCATTCGGTAATATGAAATTAGGCAAAGCCTATGAACGGGGAAGTCGGTAAAAAATCCTTTCATTTTTCCGTTTTAAAGGGGTCATTCGGTATTATATGTACCCACTTCCGTTTTCACTCGGAACACTCGACGATTATTATTAATCCGAAAAGTTGAGATATGTTACGTTATCAGAATACACCGCCTTTTATCATTGAGTTACATTGTAAATGGCGGCGCCTATCTAGAAGTGACACTGAAAATTTCATTGATAGGTATAGAATTCTATATATTTTTTAATTGTTTTTTATTTGATTTTCTTTTAAGTATACACATGTAGTCTATAGCCGGGCAAACCAAAGCCCGGACCCGCTTTGCGGGCCGGTCTTTGACTTCCCCGTATTACATGCACCGCTTCCGTTTTCACTCGGAACACTCGACGATTATCATTTATCCGAAAAGTTGAGATTTGTTCCGTTATCGGAATACCCCGCCTTTTATCATTGAGTTACATTGTAAATGGCGGCGCCCGACTAGAACTGACACTGAAAATTTCATTGATAGGTATAGAATTCTATATATTTTTTAATTGTTTTTTATTTGATTTTCTTTTAAATATACACATGTAGTCTATAGCCGGGCAAACCAAAGCCCGGACCCGCTTTGCGGGCCCGGTCTTTGACTTCCCCGTATTAATCCAAAAAGTTGAGATTTGTTCCGTTATCGGAATACCCCTTCTATTATCATTGAGTTATATTGTAAATGGCGGCGCCCAACTAGAACTGACACTGAAAATTTCATTGATAGGTATAGAATTCTATATATTTTTTAATTGTATTTTATTTGATTTTCTTTTAAATATACACGTGTAGTCTATAGCCAGGCAAGCCAAAGCCCGGACCCGCTTCGCAGGCCCGGTCTTTGACTTCCCCGGAAAAGGAAGTAAAATTTAAAACAAGTGAAAAAATACCTATCAGCGAAATTTTCAGTGCCATATTTGGATGAGCACTGCCATTTTTTATGTTACTAAATGATAAAAGGCGGGTTATTCCAATAAAAATTGCAACTTTTCGTATTAATCGTAAAGTGTTACGGGTAAAAATAGTAGTTGTACCTGCAGGGAATTCCCCAGACGCTTTTAGCGCATCGGCACCGATGCGCTAAAATTTCAGAACAAGAAATCCCGATGCGCTTAAAATTATCATAGCGCTTTAAAAAATGACCGATATTCCTTTCTATTGTGTCTATAAGTTAACCCCAATTAGCCAAATAAACAAGCCAATACACATGTCCTGTGTAGATAATTACCCGAGGCGTATACACAACCGATACACTGATTGCCTTGAGACTGTGTGACGTCACAGACACCTGTCATCGATGTCTGCAGACGACTGTTGGTGCACTTTCAGGTGTTGTCAATTACCGTGTATTGAGATGGGTGCAATTTAACCGCGGCATGTGTGATATTTACATGTATCAGGTAGGTGAAATACATTTTATTGTTTTGATAGTATAATTGGCATTAATTGACTTGCGATATAACAGTTTGATATTTAGGGATGAATGGGTTAATTGTCTTGATATAAGTGTAATGTTTAATTTCATCTTTCACTTTCTTACGACCGTAACGTCTAAGCAGTACTGTAGTATTAAGATTTCAAAAAATAATATGTCTAACATGAATAAGGGAAGCCTAGTTCACTATCAATAAAAGAGTTTTTGTGAGCAATGTCGTTGAAACTGTCTCAGTATCATTTTGCTATTTAATATATACATGATAATCCTATTTTACTTGGATTAAACTGCATAGATATTCAGAATAAATTTGGTTGATGGCTACTTTAACATTGAAAACATTTACGACTGTTTATTATCAACTTGCAACTGAGTGAAAACAATAACAAAAACTTTACATCAACAATCCCACTTAGAGACATTGGTCATTTTCTTTTTTAATTGAAAAAAAAAGAGTAAAAATATCTTGTAAACTGTTTCTGTTAACTGAATCCCCAAAATGAAAAAAAAAATAATTTTGCAGATGGACAGCTTTGTGAAGTGCAATCTACTGTCCATGCCCCTTAGCATTGGTTTGTCAGGACATACAGGGGCTGGCCAGGCACTTTGGTGTAGATATGGAGCAGTGCCGCAGCCACTGGCACCAGGTACGTGCCAGTCTAGAGGGGATTGATCAGTCAGCCGACCAGACCATGATCTGGATTACTGGCAACCTTTCTACCAGTCGTCCAGCTCTTTAAAGAATTGCTGCTGTGGTTCTCCTCCTCCCAACCTCTACTGCAGGTAATTATTATTAAATTGATTAATTCTTGAACATTAATGAAATTCCAATGACAGTTGCAGATGTGTAACACTTTGCTAGAAGTTTTTCAACATCTCAAATATAATTTTTTTTGACTTCGTTAAGTTTAAACAGGCTAGAAGTTTTAAATTTTCAAAAATTCATAGCAAACAAACAAAATAAATAAATGACATGAGGTTAACATAAATGATTATTAATTTCAGATTGTGAGCGAGGATTCAGCTGCCTGAAGAGAGTTAAGACTGAAAACAGGAATTGTCTCTCTGTTTAAGTTCTAAACTATCTTCTTGCCGTCTCCCTTCAAGGACCCCCATTAGAATCTTTCAACTTTGAGAAGGCAGTCAAGGCATGGAAGGACAACAAACCTAGAAGACAGGCCCACTTTTAATGATGTTAATGAAGAAAAAAAAAAAACTGAAATATACTCATTTAAATGGGACACACACATACATATAAATGTTGATCACATGTTGTGAACTTGTGTTTATATATAATTGTTTATTTATTTGAATTGTTGGATATGGAAAAAATAAATAATAAAAATTAAGAAAATGTTTATCAAGTGAAAAGCTTTCATTATTTGTTTTAAAACAGCCCACAGCAGTATATTGACACCTAAAATGGCAAAAAATTTCGACATGCGGTATGGGGGTCAAGACCCCCTCCCGCACCCACCCCCGTCTAATTCAAAAAATGTAGCGCTTAAAAAAATTCCTGGGGAATTCCCTGACCTGAAATAACGAATGAAACCTTTGAATTTCCCATATATAAAACTAGGCAAAGCCTAGGAATGGGGAAGTCAGATAAAAAAAATCATTCATTTTTAACTGTACACTATTTATTGTAAAGGTGTCATTCCGCAGTGTTCAGGATTTCATGCACCACTTCAGTTTTCAATCAGATTATCGACAATTTTATTCTTAAGCCGAAAAGATATGATTGAACTGTTTTTGGAATACACCGCACAGGGGTTTCATTTGACCCTTGAAACAGGGTTTTGACCCCTGAAATTTCAAAAATGCTCATTTTGACCCTTGAGAATTTCAATCCAAGGGTCAAATTTTATATATGAGCCGCGTCATGACAAAACCAACATAATGGGTTTGCGAACAGCATAGATCCAGACCAGCCTGCGCATCCGCACAGTCTGATCAGGATCCATGCTGTTTGCTATCAGTTTCTCTACTTGTTATAGGGTTTGTAAGCGAACAGCATGGATCCTGATCAGACTGCGCGGACGCGCAGGCTGGTCTGGATCTATGCTGTTCGCAAACCCATTATGTTGGTTTTGTCGTGACACGGCTCATATAATATATATTATAAGGAAAAATTCTTTTGACCCTTCAAAAACGTCATTGGTGCTTCGTTTTTACCCATGAATTTCGAGTGTTAGTGGAACCCCTGCGGGAAGCTTATCAAATTTATGAGTATTACATAAAAATTGGCACTAGAAATATCACTGCCCTTGTATATCATATAATTATTTTGACTATAATCTAACAAAAATAATAAGATAATAAAGGTGAGGAACACACATTTAACAAAAACAGTACAAAATATCTGAATCAGTCAAAATTTGACAAATTTCGCGATTTATTTATCTGACCATCGTGAACGCGTACTTTCAGGAGTACTTTCATGAAACTTTGTATTTGGAATGATTAATGGTAATCTGCAAGGGATTCCGAATGTAATTTTGAATGGGAAGCATAATAAGACCGGAAACCAGGGAAAATAATTCCGGGTGTGTTCAGATAAATAATAATGCAGGTAACCTGCTGGTACTGATTTCAGCATGCCTCAAATGTAATAGGACAGGGAGCCAAAATAACCTCCGATGATGAGCATAATTTTGCTGCACTTCTGGCAAAAGTTTTCAAAACCATCACTTTGAAGATACTTGCATTACCTTTATACAGGGCTCCAGATAAGATGCGTATACGCGTAAATTACGCATGGAAATAACACATTTACGCATTCAAAACAAAATTTAAGCGTATGAAAACGCACACAAAATTCAGGTTACGCATCGAGAAACATTTCTTTCGCGTAAACGTAACCGAAAGTAAACTCGGTTATAATCTTATTTTTAATTTCGTCTGAACACTTTGCAAGCATCTACCGGTAACTTCCTGTAGTTCCGACCATCATTGGTTGTTATCGTATGTATAGTATGGTG